ACTTATAAAGGAAATCTTTTCTTTTTATGTGCATGATGCTTCAACCTTGGTTCTACAGAGCCCCATTAAATAATGATAGATGTTACAATTGGACATTATGATAGTGGTACAGAGATTAGAAGTCAATATTTCATCTTCTGCAAGAGCCTGAAAATGTGAATATCTTAAACTTTTTTAACAACGTTATAAATCTTATACTTATTCTGGTTGGCTTACATGCATTGTTGCCCATAGAAACACTGTTTACTCTCAAACTGGAAAACGGCCATAAAAGAGTCATTTCATAAAGTTTTCTACCTCCAGCTCCATCGACTTTCATTTTTCTCAGGCAGAACCAAGGCTTTTTACATTTCCAAAGCCCCGCTTCCTGAGCCCTCTACGCAGGGAACTGCACCCTGCAGGGGCCTCGCCTCTGTATCAAGGTGCTCTGGAGTCCATTGGGCTCCTGCCCGATGGACACTGAGCTGGGCCATTCCTACTTCTTCAGCCTGGTGTTTTTCCCTTCGGGCTCCAGGCCCACTTAGTTTAGCACAGTCTAAGCACATAACCAAGCTGTTGCACTGGCCGGAGCTCCCATACCCCTCAATTACTAACCCTCTGCTATTTTTTGCCACGACAGTTATGCGTTTCATGCTTCAGCTATTTCTTTGGCTGCAGACTAAATGGCCCTGGAAGCACTGGAAGGACAAGCATGAGCCAGATGAGAGCAAAGCAAGAACTAGATGGAGACAGAGCTCGAGGAGCGATGCTGTGCCTGGACCGAACAGCTTGTCCAGTGCGTAGGGCGCCAGCCTGTTGGAGCTGAGCCCCTGGCTCCCCCACGGACGTCCCACGGGGCCCCAAGCATATCACTTAGGGCCAGACCCTCAAAGCCATTCAGGCACCAAGAGCCTATGGAAAGCCGGCACCAGGTGTGGACCCTAGAGACAGGAAGGGCCATATCCAGGGACAGAGGCCAAAAGCCCATGTTCACAGTGCCCAGGATAGAAGCCCAGGGAGCTCCAGCCGGGCCTGAGCAGGGGGCTCCTGGGGGACTCCCCAGCACCTTCACCAGGCAGCACACTCCCACCCCCACCTATCCGCGGGGCATGCCGAGCAGTGGCCCCGCCCACACCCAT